CTTGATTTTTTATATAGGAAGATAGAGAATTTAAATCTCTACAATTGACATCCATACAAAAAATATAGTTTTTCATTGCTTAATGTGGAAATATGGGTATTAATTGTACATAAACATATTTTCAGTTATATTCTTATGATGAAGAGCTAATGTAGGTAGATATAGATATACCATACAGAAAACTATATTTAAAAATAACTTTTTCATGAAACTTTTTGTTACAGGCCTCGATCCACCTTCCATCTATCTATCTCTCTCTCTTTGAAATTGTTATTCTTTTCTTTTCTTTCTTCGCTATTGTATTTTATTATATATATGTACGTGTTGTTAAGGACATTTTGGAGAATAGATATATAAATAAATAAATAAACAAACGTAAGCTCGTCGAAGCGAGCTAACAATTTGGTGCCGTGACCCATCTTCTTCTATTTACTACACCGAAGAAGAACGAATTCCTTAATTAATTTACTCATCCGTAACGGAAAGAGTGAAGTATAATCTCATCCTTTTAAGGGGAAGAGAGAGAAAAATTACATACATATATATTATTTATTCATTAGAAGAAGGTAATTTTCTTCTGTATAAAGTTCAAATTTTTTGTCCTTCCTTTAAGTGCATTTTTTAAGAACGGCTACCGGTACAAGAAGAGCGATTAAAAAACGTGGAGCAAATATTTTATCATATGAATTAATTACCAATTCACCAACACGAATAAGAAATAAAAAACAAAACGATATGTCATTTATGCAAGAAATGGAAACAACTCCGATGGAAGCTCGACAAATTTATTCAAGCCAAAAAGAAGTAATGAAGAAAATAGCTGAATTTTCAGGAGAAGCTGATGAAATTGATATTGATGAATGGATTTTTGATTTAAATAATTTATTTTCATTAATGAAATTAAAAGATGAAATAAAGGTGCTCGAAACAATGGGCAAATTAACAGGACCAGCATTACGATGGTATCAAGAAAATTTAAGATCATTCATTACTTGGAACGATGCTGAAAAAGCATTACGTGATCGATTCAAAGAATTTACATTCAACAGTCAATTAATGCAAGAATTTTTTAACATTCATCAAGAAGAGAACCAATCCGTTATATCATTTTATGAAAATGTAATTCGGAAATATAGAAAATCTCGACAATTTATTACTGAACAACAAGTTATCACAGTATTACAAAATGGTGTTAAAAATTCATTAAAAGAATATTTAATTCGTAATGAAAAAGAAATTAAAAAACCAGAAGAATGGTTGCAATTAGCAAAAGAAGAAGAATATATACAAAAACGAATTCAACAACAACGTAATGGTTCATATTCTGGAACAAAAAATAAAACATTTTTTGAACATATATTACCAACTGCAACAGTTCAACCAACACCATCGAATTTTCAATTGCCGAGTCAACAGCCCTCTACATCACGTCATTACTACAAACAACAACATCCACAGCTACCATCATTAACAAACAATCGGACACATTCAAAACCAAATAAGTTTACAAATCGTCAACAACATCGAGAAAATTATCCAGAAAATAAAATTCAAAAATCCAATCCATGTTTAATTTGCAACAAAAACAATCATGCAACAATAAAATGTTTTTATAAAAAAAACAACAGCTGTTTTAAATGTGGACAATCAAATCATCAAATACGTGATTGTCCTCAACAACATTTTTTCGAATAAAGGGATCGGATGATGGCGACGATCCCTGTGGAGCAAAACAGTCATCAACCACAACAGCATTTAATCCTATTTTTGTCAAAATTTTATGCAACAACACTCCACAAACAGCACTTATCGATACCGGATCGGCCATCACTATTATACATCAACACTTATTAAATGATATACCACATGAAAAATTAATACCAAAAACAATGAATCATTTATCTGCAAATTGCTCAACATTAAATATTATTGGTGAGATACCTTTAGAAATAAATGTTAATGGAATAACAACAGCAATTATTGCTGATGTTATAACCAATCTGGTTACGAATTTAATATTAGGTAGTGATTGGATTCAATCAAAAAATGTTTATATTCTTACACCTGAACAACGAATTATGATCCGAAGTCGAGGTAAAGAAGTATCAACTCCTTTTGTAAAACCACCTCTTTTAAATTATCCGGTTACTCTTATTAATCATATTACTCTTCCTCCTTTTTCAGAAAAAATAGTAGAAGCACAAGTTCAACATAACAATATGATAGATGTATTATTTGAACCAAATCCTCGATTAAAAAATAAAGCATTATTTACTGCAACTGCATTACTGAACATTGAAAATAGACGAATAAAAATTAGTATAATTAATGCAACGAATCGACAACAAACACTTTCCGAAGGAACCAAATTAGGTATAGTGACACAATTATCTTCTACAATTGGTGTTACCATACCATCAAATTATTTGATAGAACGCATTCCGGAAGGAAAAGCGTGTAAAGAGCTCATTCCTGAAGGGAAAGGAGCGAACAAATCAAATAAATTAAATTGTAACAACATACCAACTATAGCATCACACGGAAAACAACGTCAATGTCGTAAATGTTATCAACATTTTGATACTAGCAATGAATTATTCAAGCATCTTAGAAATCAATGTTATCCTGACGAAATAAGACAGCAAATAAATAAATTAACTGAACATATTAGCGATGATAAACAACGAGAACAAATTTTAAAAATTTTATGGAAATATGGCAAATTATTTGACATTAGTGAACCATCAAAAATTGATATAATTTTAAAAAATGCTATTGATACTGGTACACACCGTCCTGTTCATACTCCACCATATAGAAAATCAAACAAAGATCAAGAAACCTTAAGAAAAGAAACAGATAAATTATTAAAAAATGGAATTATTGAACATTCAACATCACCATGGTCTTCACCTGTCGTTTTAGTAAAAAAGAAGGATGGAACAACAAGATTTTGCGTCGATTATCGTCGCTTAAACCAAATTACAACAAAAGATGCTTTTCTATTACCAAGAATTGATGATATTTATGACCAATTAACAAAAGCAGCATATTTTACAAAACTCGATTTCAAAGCAGGTTATTTTCAAGTACCATTAGATAAATCAGATCGACCAAAAACAGCATTTTCAACTCGAGATGGACACTTTCAGTTCAAAGTATTACCTCAAGGTCTTACTAATGGACCACCAACATTTCAACGTATTGTTAATCAAATATTAGGTCCAAACAGATGGAAACATGTACTCGCCTATATCGATGATATTATTATGTATTCACAAAATTTTAATGAACACTTAAAACATATCGAAGAAGTATGTTTATTATTACAAGAAGCCAATTTTAAATTAAATGTTGACAAATGCGAAGTTGCAAGAGCAGAAATATTATTTCTTGGACATGTAATTAAAGCAGGTACTATTAAACCTGATCCAGACAACATCCGTGGTTTGACCGAAACACGTGAACCAACATCAGCTGAAGAAGCATTTAGATTCGTCAAAGCAGCAGAATATTACCGAAAATTTATTCCAAAATTTTCCACCATCGCCGCACCATTACATCAATATTCTCCAGCAACAGTACAACAACAGAAGAATAATAAAAAATAAAAATTTGAATTATCTGCTGAAGCTAGAACAGCATTCCACCAACTAAAGAAAATACTAACAATTGATCTTATTCTTGATTTACCTGATGATACATTATTATTTAAATTACAAACTGATGCTTCTGTAGATGGAATTGGTGCTGTTCTATTACAAATTACTTCCAATGGTGATCGACCATTAGCATATATGTCAAAGAAATTAACAAAAGCACAAACTAAGTGGCCAACAATTGAACAAGAATGTTATGCAATAGTACAAGCAATAGAAAAATGGGACAAATATCTTCGTGGACATGAATTTATATTAGAAACTGACCATGGACCATTAATTCATTTTGCAAACAAAGAACAATTAAATAAAAGATGTGAACGATGGCGATTAAAATTAGCTGAATATTGATTTAAGGTGAAACATATTCAAGGTAAGAAAAATCACATGGCAGATTATCTTTCAAGATCACCAGTCGACATAGCTGAAGAAGATATTGAAGAACGAATTCAGTATGAATCAACATCAACACAAACAGATTCATCATTTTCATCATTAAATGATAATTTGATTCCATTAAAAATAACAACAGCGATTACTAGAGCTCAAGCCAAATTACAACAACAAGCAATGGCAACACCACCTATTAAACCGACGAATGAAAAAATTAATGAGCTCATCCCACAAGGGAAAGTAGCGACTGATGAAGAACTGATAATCAAACCATCAGATGAAAATCCAAATAAGATCATCCCATTTGATATGGATGACTTAAGAAAATGTCAAGAAGAAGATAAAACAATTCAAGAAATAAAAAAGAATAGTAAGAATAAAAAACATTATTTTGTTGAAGATGGAATATTATTTAGGAAACAACAACTACCACTTTTACCAGTTCCATATGTTCCAGCAGGACGGATACGTGCTGATATATTAAAAATTTATCATGATACACCTGCTAATGGAGCTCATTTTGGACGTGACAAAACAATAAGAAAAATTCAAGAACGTTATTATTGGCCAACAATGATAGCAGATATTAGAAATCATTTAGATTCATGTTTACCATGTGCACAAAATAATTATCGTCGTCAAAAATTACCAGGAAAATTAAAACCAATACCACCACCAGAAGGAATATGGAAATTATTAAGTATGGATTTTCATGGTCCAATTACTCCAACATCAAAAATAGGAAACAGATACATCATATCTCTTACAGATGTTTTATCAAAATTTGTTATTACAAGGGCGGTTCGAGATTGTTCAGCAGCAACAGCAGCTAAATTTCTTATTAATGATGTTATATTAAAATATGGCACTCCAACATGTATATTAACTGATAATGGTACTCATTTTACTTCTCAAGTTATGAACAAATTATTTGAAAATATTGGAGTCACTCATCTTTATTCCACAGTATATCATCCACAAACTAATGGACAAATTGAACGATTCAATGCAACTATGGATGGAAAAATTGCCGCTTTATGTAATGAACGACGTACAGACTGGGATGAAGTATTACAATTTGTTACATTTAATTATAATACATCAATACATGCAACAACAAAACAAACACCATTCGAAATGATGCATGGAAGACGAGCTACACTTCCATTTGATCAACAAAAAGAAATTATTTCGCTCACACAAGATCCAGAGCACAGTCAAAAATTAAAATATATCTCGAAAAATTAGTAAATGAAGCTCGAAACAATATTATAAAAAATCAACAACAATATAAAGCTCGATATGATTTACATAGACAAGATTTATTATTAAAAGTCAATGATCTAGTTTTAGTAAAAACAAGAAATGTTAGAAATAAATTCGATATACGATATGAAGGTCCATTTAAAATTATTAAACAATTAGGACATAAAACATTCATTGTTCAACACGTAAAGAAATTAACATTAACAAGACAAGTAACAATGGATGTTATCGTTCCTTTGGTGGAACGATGGAATTTAATTTAATAACACACATCCTCAAACAAAAGGGGAAAGATGTGGTATATGATAATATAAATAGTAAAGTATATGCAACAATAGCAAAATTCAAAAAAAAAAGAAAAAAAAAATATATATATATATAATAAATATTATTATTATTTAAATTAATTAAAAAATGATTGAGTCGGATTCAGCAGTCCATGTCGGGGAGACAGAATGTCACCTTCTCACTGACAAGGAGGGGCTGTCTAACTCAAAAATTAAATTCAATTGATTTTACTTTATGTATTTGTATGCATATTAGTCATCGCATACATATATTATACACGATGACTCATCCACCAATCACAATGCATTATAATCGAGGCACTTTTACAGTGTTGGCGCCATACTGTACAGTACGAACGATAATGCACGTTTTCCGGTTGGACGACTTTACTATTATCTGAACATTAACATGATATATATATTGACCACATCAAAAGGAAAGAAAAATTTTATATATGGATAACAATAGCACCGTCTGATATATACGAAGGAAAGAAAAATTGACCTTACAGACAATGACCTTAGTGAACAAATATTTTATTACGACATTAAATTATAAATTACGCATTTTCATTTTAGTTATACATCATTTGATCTTTTCGATACACAAAGTAAACATACATTTATTTCAGTGATTTACTATGTCTGCCTTAAGAAGAAATTCGTCTAATCCACCACCATACTACTACGACTTAAGTCCAGAACAACAGAAGAATTGGATGAAAACTACTCGTCGAATGGAAAAAAACGAACAACTACGAGCCGAATATTCACCTTTTCAATCACCATCAAATTTTACAGTTATTCATCTTCACCATTATTCATCAATTGAAACAGTAGAAGAATTAATAATGATGGCAAGAGCAACACATATATATACAATCGATACAGAATCACAAGTAATAAACAAGGTAGCAAAAGATGCCCTCATACAAATCCAGTTCGTTCATTCAATTCATGAATCAACATTAATATTAATTGAAATGTTTTACTTACCAAATCAAGATTCATTGTTATTCAAGAAAATCAAGGAACTGTGTTCAATCATATTACATGATGAAAATACAAAAATTACCTGGGGACCATTTGACAATGAATTTAAACATTTTCATTCATATGGATTATTTGAAAAAGGTAAGATTAAAAATGCAATAAATTTACAGGATCATTTTAGTGACTGGTACAACAAACCTACAAATATCACGCATCCTGTAAAGGAAAGTCGTGAAAAGCAAACCACCTGGTCCTTACAAGATGCAATTAAAATAGCTTTTCAACAATTTCTGGACAAGAACGAAACAGTTAACAAGTGGCGTTGTGGACTGGACTACAAACTCAATACATGGAAAATAAAATTGTTTAGTAAAAATCATTCCAATGCAAATGAAGAAAAAGAAAAACGTACATTAATGATAAAATATGCTGTTGCAGACTGCACCGCGGTCACAAAACTTTATTTTATGATATATCCATCAGACTCAGGCATTCAAACAAGTTATGAAACACCAACACCAACAACAGCATCAACAAATATGACATTAAATATTAATGATTTATCCGACATTAGTGAAGAAGAAGAACCTAAAATATTAATGCCATATTTTGATAAACCACCTCAAACATTAATACCAAAATTCAACGAACAAAATTATTTAACAATTGAAACAATTGAAGAAGAAATGAACGAATTTAATGTGCAAGAACAACAACAAGCACAAGAACAAACAACAATAACAAAATTATCAAAATCTGAAATACAAAGAAAGAAAAATCTGAAGTTAAAATGGAAACAAAAATATCATCCTAATTTTCAACACAAAATAAAAAGGCCCATTTACTACCGATATGATTACCAAAAAGTTAGGGCTCAATTAAAAGATGATGATATTTATACAAGCCATCAATTAAACATTAATTGACATAAAAAAGAAGTTTTAATTGGCTTTAAATCTGAAACTGAACAAGAACAAGCAAGAATTAAAATGCCAATTAATTATTTCTCCAAAAAACAATACGAACAACGTTGGGGTTAAATAAACAAATTAATTAATTAATTAAAAATTAAAACTAAAATTAAAATCAAAAATTAAAATTAAAATTAAAATCAAAAATTAAAATTAAATTATTAAAATTAAAAAATTAATAATAATAAATTATTAAACAAGTTATTAAATAAAACATCAACAACAACAACAATTAGCGACAACAGCAGCACCTATGGAAAATAAATAAATAAATAATAACAACAAACAATTTCGACAACAATAAACAAAAACAACAACCAAAAGATCCAAAACAACCATTGGAAAAACAGGGTAAACAAAACACCAATCATTATTTTTATTGATTTAGGTATACAACATTATCATCGTGAGACACAAGATCATAATGGTGGACATAGGATAATGAAACAATTATTTAACAATTAATTCAATCATTAAATGATCGTGAATTTGAACAAATAAAAAAAGATAAAAATTCTATAGAACATCAATCTGAAGAATCTATTTCAAATACTGAA